GTTTTGAAACTAGGAAATGTGGGTTCTCCAACTTTGTTTTCTGGTTCAAGATTGTTTCCATTATTGAGGGTCCTTTGAGGTTCCATATAAATTTTAGGATGGGTTTTTCTATTTTTGCAAAATATTCCATTTCGATTTTGATAGAGATCGTATTTAATCTGTAGATCACTTTGCATAGTATCACCGTTTAACAATAATATGTTTTTAAATCCACGAACATGGGATGTTTTTCCATTGATTTAGATAAGCAATTTCTTTCACTAATGTTTCATGTTTTTTTATGAATCTTTTACCTCGTTTGTTAAATGTATTTCTACTCTCATTTACTTCTAGGGAGATGGCTAAAAGCACACATTCTGAAGTTAGACTGCCCAGAGTTTGATGTCACCATTTACTAGAGCTGCATGACTTCAAGCAAGTTAACTTACTTTTGCCTCAGTTTTTTTCCTTAAAATTAAGGATAACGTTTCATAAATTTGATGTGAGTATTAAATGAGATTATACATATAGGATGTTTGTTTTAGTGTATGGGCCATATCACATGCTCAATAGATGTTAATGTTTCATAGTAGTAGTAGCAGTAGTATCCGGATGTAGTAAGAAATGAGACTGGGGCAGTGTGTTGGTGCCATTTTGTGAAGAGTCTTAAATATCAAGATAAGGGATTTAGACCTTGTTCTGTTGGCAAAAAGATCATTCAATGTTTTTGAGAAGAAAAACTTGTTTTAGGCAGTAAATTCTGGTGATTATGAGAAAGACAGGTGGAGAGTAATGTTGTTGTCATAAAGGGTACTAGTTCTAATTGGCAAAGAGAATCTAAACTAGTGATAGAATGTATCCAAATAATATATCCGAATTTTTTATATATATATATTATATATATACTCAAAAGAAGATATGTGCTCAGACATTTTAAATAAAAATTACAGATCTTGACCACTGTTTCCATGAGTATAATAAAGAAGATATGCTGAGCTTGAGGCGTCTTTGTGACATCTGTATATAGACACCCAAAAGTCTGACATTTGGAAGGTAGGTCAGGGTAGGAAATGCATATTTGGGTATATGCTGTTATCTACGGTTCTAGTTACTAATATTTTGCCTTTCAACTTCAAATCCTTTTTTGCCTTACTTTGTGATTCTCAAGATGGACCCTGCAGACATTTCTCCTGTGTCATTTCTCCTTTGACACAATTTTGCTAATAGAGGGTGCTGGGTGCTGGAAGGACACGGGAAGGGCTTAGCAGGAGGAAGGGTCTTTCGTGTGTGTGTGTGTGTGTGTGTGTGTGTGTGCATGCACAGTTTTTCCATGTGATAGCCAGTAAATGGGCATGTGGGGTGGGGTGGAAGAGAGCAGCCCTGGCAGGAGTGGTCCTCAGAGATAAGCAGCAGCTGCTATGGCCTGCAAGTTTCTTTGTCACTACCAAGCTGCATGTATATGACAGCCACACCACATCAAATGAGGCCTGAATCTCAGCCTTGGAGTGGGAAAAGTTGGAGAGTTCTTCTAAGTTTCCAAGTTCCTGCCTTGCTCACATTCCTCAGCCCTAATGATGGTTCCTGTTTTTTGGAGTTGCTGCTTCAGTACTCCCTAGAGCCCTCTTTTATCCCTCTTACCAGCCAACAGTTTTTCTTTTAATATTAAAATGTCTCTATTCAAATTACTGGTGTGATTTCTGTCTTCTGGCTGGACTTGGACAGATGCAACCACATATGAGTAAGAATAGAAATCATAGAAGTACATGATCTCACTCAAGCAAAGAATAGAAAGGAATATGAGAAGATTGAGGAGGGAACTCCAGGGAATGACTTTTTTTGAAAGTGAGCAAAGAAAGTGTAGCTAGAAATAAGAAGGAGAAAATAAGAAGAAATCATAAAGAAGCCTAGGAGAAAAGTTTCAAGGTGGGAGGGGTGAGCTGCAGTGTCAAATTTCGTAGAGGGATCCAGTAGGGGGAGGCCTAGGGAGAGGCTGTTGGATTTGGCAATTAGGAAGTCACCAGAGACCTTTCAAAGGACAGTTTCTGTGGTGTGATGAATGCAGGTAGAAGGCAGATTGCCAAGAGGACTTAGAAAAAAATGGGAAGGTGAAGGTTAGAGTCAACAAATGGAAGTTTCTCTTTCAAGAAGCTTGATAGTGATGGGAATGATATATACAGGAGAAAATCAGAATTAAAAAGAAACATTTTGGGGATAGGGAGATTTGAGGATAGAATTACATATAAGCCCTAATATAATTCAGTAGAGACTGAGATAAAAAAAATTGTGAAGTGCTTGTAGAAAGTAAAAACAGCATGTAAATGCAACATACTAGAAACGCTTATGTGATTCTTACAGGATTTTCCACTATTTAAGGTTTTGCCTCATAGCCATCGCACCATTTTGCTTAAACAGATCCATTCCACCTCTAATTGCTCCATGCTAATCACATCCAGTGACTGCTGGCAGAGACCACCTAGTACCTTTCCTTGAAATTATGCCTGCAGAGATTTTCTTCCTACCTTGTGCACATTTTCCTTTTCTGAATTTACCATAAATGTAATTGCTTTGGCATCTCTCTCTTGCCCTGGGACTTGCTGGGACCACTCATTTCAGAAGCCAGCTTACATTATGCAAGAGAAAGACGAGCCCACAGCAGAAATATTATCAGAGGGCCCTCAGGTTTATATGTGTTCTGCTCCAAATCATCTTTTCCTAAAGCCATGTCTTGCCACTTGAAGCTAAGCATTTTATTATTTGTGAAATATGTCTGGCATCAAAACAAAAACTTCTTTACTTGTATAAATTTATGGGGAACATGAGAAATTCCATTACATGCATATAAAACGCAGTGACCAAGTCAGGGTATTTATGGTGTCCATCTCCCAAGCACAATACATTTTTGTGAAGTATAGACACCCTACTCTGCTATCGAACATTGAATGTACTCCCTCTATCTTTCTACTCTTCAATCCACATCTCTTCACCCTTCCGCTGGCCCCCACTCACCCTTCCCAGTCTGTTATCACAAAATAGAAACTTTTAAGCTAAGGGTCTCTGGCCAAAAACAAGTTGATTTTCACAAATAGATGCAGAGAGAAATTCATATAAATAAGCCACTCTACTACCTTTAAGTAGAGTGTAGGGGTTAAGATAAGCAACTCTTTTCTGCTAGAAGGAAAATAAATTAAGGTTCTTACTGAACTGGATGCTTTCACGGGCATCATTTCACTCCCTCATCTGCACTCTCGCCATGCTGTGTTTTCATTCACATTCGCAACTGAGGCTCTGAGAAAGTAAGTGGTTTGTCCAGTGCTATCCAACCAGCAGAGGGCAGCAGGATTCGCACCCATGTCTAATTCCTAGACCTGTGCTCTTTTTACCAAGCAAATGGTAATGGTTATAACTAATTCATTAGAAAAAATGTCATTTTAGGTGTTAAATCTGTAGCAACTGCTTTACTGAGCTCCAGGAAACACATGGAGATTAAAGAAGGCTATGAGTTCTTGGGTTTAGAAAAGAAGTGATCCTAGTCAAAAACAGCACTGGAATCTGATACAGATACAGACGCTGAAGTGGAGTTAGAAAGAAAATCATTTTAACACTCGGGGCTGCCAAGGGATGGAGGCACGACAATGAAGTCGTCAAAGTACAAGACTGAAGAAGACCTGGTTACCCATGAATGGCTTGACTCTAGGGGAGGCTGCGGTGGCACCAGAAAAAGCATCATGGAGTAGCAATAGGAGGAAACATCTCCTAACCTTTGCAAGAGACTACATTTTAAACCTGGACTTAAAAAAATCCATTTCTGAAAGGAAAAGTTAGAAAATGGCAGAAGAGTGGTGACTTCGTCCTGACCCATACAGTTCACTGGAAAGTAGTTCGTCCTGTGATCATCAGCCAGGGCTACATCAATCTACTTGGTTCTGCCTGAGTACAAGTTTATTCCTGCCCTCTCCTATCATCTTTGAAGATTAGAAAGCTTTGCTAACTTGGACTTACTTTTTGTAAAAAGAGAATATGGAACAATTTGTGTTTTTCTGATCACATGAGAATGTGAGCTCTCGGAAACTACTAATTCTTTTTTTAAGTTAAAAACATTTTAACTTTATTTTAGATTCCGGGGTACATGTGTAGGTTTGTTATATAGGTAAACTTGTGTCACAGGGGTTTGTTGTACAAATTATTTTGTCATCCAGATACTAAGCCTAGTATTTAATAGTTATTTTTCCTGATCCTCTCCTTCCTCCCACCTTCCACCCTCTCATAGCCCCCAGTATGTGTTGTTCCCTTCTATGTGTCCGTGTGTTCCATCATTTAGCTCTCACTTATGAGTGAGAACATGTAATATTTGGTTTTCTGTTCCTGCATTAGTCTGCTAAGGATAACGGCCTCCAGCTTCATCCATGTCCCTGCAAAGGACATGATCTCATTCTGTTTTATGGGTGTATAGTATTTCATGGTGTGTGTGTGTGTGTGTATATATGTATTTATTTATAAAATGTGATATATATATTAAAAAAAATTTTCTTTATCTAATCTGTCACTGATGGGCATTTAGATAGATTCCATGTCTTTGCTATTGTGAATAGTGCTGCAATGAACATATGCCTGCATTTGTCCTATTACTGGGTATGTATCCAAAGGAATAGAAATCATTCTACCACAGTTAAATTTTTTTTTTCTTAGGTTTTTGTGCTGTGATTTCATAAAGTCAGGGAAAGAAGTATTTTGTTATAGATCCTCTCATGAGTGCCCTGTTGGAATAGAGAGGTGGTCAGGTAAGGAAATAACCAAAAGCCAGCTTGGCTGACCAAGAGTTTTTGAAAACTCAGGTGACAATTTTTTATGTTTTGAAATGAGTTATTCAAATATTTGTTATGAGACAAAAGAGCATGGCATGTCAGAAACGTGAAAGCAGGCATTTAAAACAAAGTTATAAGAAGTAACTTAGGAGATGAGCAAGTTTACTTGAGCCCTTCTTTTTCTCCCTACAATTTACAAAACTCAGATAAGTAAATTAAGGGTGCACAAGAGGAGAGAAAATGAGATGTGATAGAAAACTTCACAGTGAGACTTCAAGACTATCTGCAGAGAAACTCATCAGAAGGAGACCTGAAAGGTACTTTAAGTCAGGAGTTCATGAGTTTTCAGTATTCTGTGGGAGAATCAATCTACAGGAAGAGCAGTTCCTGTGCTCCACTAATTGAACCTGCATCCAGATGTTTAAAAGCAGGGAATGCTGTTTTGAAGGAAAGCCACAGAAGTTGGCTTATGTGCTGTGGAGACAGTGTGGTCCTCTTCCATTCCCAGATTGTGGAAAGAAACCTCAAGTGGCCTGCAAGTTGGACGTGACTGGTCATCGTATTTCCTGCATCATCAGTCAGAAAATGGCATGCAGCTGTATTTTCAGACTGAACCACACTGTGCGGGGTAAGCAGCTGATCTTTTAACTAATGTCTCCACATTTAATATTCCTGTCATTTTTTTCCTGGAGTGCTATTTTATGAATATAAACACTTCTCCCAATGGTTAGATTCATATATGAATTGCCAATAAATCTAAGATTTGCTCCGGTTCTAGTACAATCATGAAAAGCCACTTGCAACATTATCCTCAAAGCCAAGGGCAGTAGCCACAGGCTTTGAAGATAAAGCAAATTTTTAGTACTTGAAAAACTATTCACACCATACGGTGTCTAGATAAAATAATTCTCCCTTTGAAGTCAGGTCAGATGGTTGAAATGTGAGCAGGTTGAAAATATGGTCTAATATACCTTTGTTAATCTCTGTGTAAGATTCAGAACCATTAGTCCATGAAGACCTTTAATCAAAATCATGGGACTGGTTCTGAGGATGTGACCTTTTAGCCCTGGAAAGGATGGCAGCAAAACCCCTGAGACCCATGGGACTTTTCCAGTTTTCTAGAGAAGTAGATTCTCTTGAGCCCATTCTTGAGTGTAACAGCTGGTCCTCTAAGGAAGGCCTGCAAATTGTCTTTATTTTCAGATAAAATAATTCTGGGTCTGGGTTTTCTATTGCAAATGTCAGCACCATTAAACATATTCAACATATTAAAAGAGATGACTTGGCTCTTCAAGGGGAACAAAGGTGAAAATGTCAAATTTCATTTGGCATATGAAACTGTAATGTAACGTTTGTAAAACATTTCATGGTATAACTACTTCCCGGAAATATTTCTCTGTGAGCCTTAAATTAAAAAGCAATGGTCTTTCTGCTTTGTGAAGCTCACAACTAAGGTGTGATAAAAATATACCTTCAACCTATTTCTTACCTCCTGCTCTGAAATCAAACAAATGGGGAACCTAAACTGTTGAATTTCAAAGGTCTAGCCTTAAAGTTCCGAGTCACACTGACCAGCAGTCCATCACTGTTTTCTGTAGCAATGCACATTCATGCAAAACTTATAGGGAAAACTGATTGATATTTTCTATAAAAAAGCAAATATACTCCTTCCAAACCAGTGACATCAGAAATGCCACCCAGGACTCCATCTTACACAATAGTTATTGTAGTAAACTGATAATATGTGAACGCTCCAGTCAGCTTTCTGAAAAATCTCATATGTGCTTCTCATCTAAGCGTTTTATCTAATCTCCCTCCTCTCAAATTTCTTACCGTGGATGCAATGAATCATGCTAGATTCAATGAGTGGATGGTTCTGACAATGAACGGGTTGGGGTTTGGTTGGACTGTGATGTGAAGGGTAGGTATCAAAAGTCAAGATTTTTGTTGCTGTTGTTGTTTTTTTGAGACAGAGTTTCTCTGCTATGGCCCAGGCTGGAGTGCACTGGCACGGTCTTGGTTCGCTGCAACCTCCGCCTCCTGGGTTCTAGTAATTCCCCTACCTCAGCCTCCAGAGTAGCTGAGATTACAGGCATGTGTCACCATGCCCGGAAAAGCCAAGATTTACCCTTTCTTGGGAAGACAGTGAGATTATTTCTCCCTGAAAATAAAGCAGAACAGAACAAAACAAAATGATAACAGAGCAAAACAAAAGAGGTTTTGAGGGAAGTGAACAGTAGTCTAGTTCTAGCCTAATGAGCCTGATTGCATGTACAACCTAATCAGCCAATCCCGTCCATATCAAGTAAAAACTCATCAAGTGGCCATGAGAGGCTGAGTGGGGTCTACTTCTTGCAGCGGTCTGTAATGTTACCTCATGCCAGTAAGACATTCTTCAGGAGAAGCTTGCCTTAATCACCTCTGTAACTGGCACCTGGCATGGTTTTGGTATATAGCTAGAGCTGCCATAAGAAAATACCACAGATTAGGTGGCTTAAACAAGAGAGATTCTCAGTTCTGGAGTTGGGAAGCTCAAGATCAAGGCATCAGCAGGATTTGGCTTCCTCTGAGGCCTCTTTCCTCGGCTTGCAGATGGCCATTTTTTACCTGTGTCCTTACATAGCCTTTTCTCTGTGTGCACACATCCCTGGTGTCTCTTCTCTTCTTATCAGGACACCAGTCCCATTAGATTAGGGTGCCACCTTTATGATGTGTTTCACTTTCTAAACACCGTATCTTCAAATACAGACAGTTGGGGATTAGGGCTTCCACATATGAATTTTTGGGGGGACCCAATTCAGTTCATGAGATAAAACTGTCTTTGCAAAGATTATGACAGTGAGAAAAATCTGACATAGGAAAATTATGTCAGTGAAAGAACTCTGACCTCATCGACTGATCTCACTTCTAACCTCCAAACTTCCCTTGTTCATTCTTAGGGATAGGGTGAACTAACTTGGAGTAAATTAGCTTATAGTTTAACTTTGAAAAAAAGACAATACATCTCTTCCCCAAAATAAACCCCCTCCTTGCTTAGGGATCAGATGACCTTTGTAAAAACCAACAAATCAGCCACAAGATTAGAAACTATAGCTCAGGAATCATGCAGCCAAAGGTCACAAGATACTAACCTCCCAGTTGCTCCTATAGATAATGTCACTATTGTAAAACCTAAGATTGATGTGTGAGGTATTTTTCAGACCCTGCATTCTGATGGATTAGCTGGTGCTACCCAGACTGTTTAAAAAATTAAACACAGCAGATTCTACCAGATCTGCTTCTATGTATTCATATATGTTGTGTGTATGTGTGATGCTTCATTATCAAAATATATAAAAGAGCTCTAATTAATTGGCTTTAAAAATAAGCACTTAAATAAAATATTTTGTCAGAAAAATAGAAACTTTAATGCCTTTTAGTTCACATGACTCTAATAAGCTTTGAAAAATAAAGACAGTTTTAAAGATTATTGGTAAAATAAAATAAAAATGTCTTCACAATTTAGACATTTCATCTAAATTAGGCTGTTCAGATACTGTATTTACTAGAGGCTTTAAAGTTACACACTGCTTCTATGACTTTTGATAGGTGTCTACTTGCCTGCTTTAGAAATATTTTCCAAATTTTAAATTGTAAGTAAGGCCTGAGGACATGTGGATTTGGCCATGTCCTTTAGCTATTGGAAAGAGTCAGATATTATCGGACATTATCTGCAGTTCTGTCCTGTGTCCTAGTCTCTGCACCTGGTACATAACTAAAATTGCTTATTCTTAAAAATAGGAGTTGTATGCTGTTGGTAAAAGGACAGAATAATTGGTTTTTTTGGGTCTAGCTTAGTGGGTTTAGGAATTGTTCTAAATTTAATAAAGGAGAAGATAAAACTAAAAGTTTAAGCAAATTTATAAGGTTTATGATAGATTGATCTTATAAAAGAAATTCTCTGTGTGAGCAAATTGGCTAAAATTAAAAGGAGATTATTTAGTTTTCCCATAAATCAAACACTAAAATAAAATGCAGGGCCAGATCTGGGCTCTGTGTCAAAATATCAAGATTTTCTTAAAATATTGATCTGCTTTTAAACAAGAAATTGTAAAGGTTTCACGAGTGGATTTGTCAAAACCTTTATCTTATGCTTACCACTAATTAAATGGAGATAAATTTGTTTATGAAAGTTTTATTAAATTGTGGGTCGGAGCGGTGGTGGCTATGTCTATAATCCTAGCACTTTGGAGGCGAGGCGGGAATATTCATTTGGAGGTCAAGTGGTTTCCGACCAAGCCTGCCAAACACGGCAAAACCCCGTCTTACTAAACGCAACAACAACCAACAACGCAGCAACACACAACAACACAAAAATTAGGCTGTAGTGTGGTGGCATGGCCCTGGTAGTCCCAGGCTACTCAGGAGGGCCTGAGTTAGGAGAATCGCTGAACTGGGGCAGAAGGGTTGCAGTTGAATGCGAGATCACGCCACTGCCACTCTTAGGCCCGCTGGGTGGACAGAGGCAAGAGACTCTATTCAGAAGAAAAAAAAAAAAAAAAATTGGATTTAGCATAAATCATACATGAATACAAAAGTAAAATAGGATTTTCTCTTTTGAACAAGATTTTCATGTAATATTGAGATAATAAAATATAATTTGCCTTTTAAATCAACCAAAGGAAAAAGCAAAATGAGAGAAGAGATAGATTCCGTTGTCCCCATGCTGTCTTTATTGGATCTTCTTGGTTGGAAGGCTGAATCTCCCCTCTATTAATGAGTAAAAGTTTATGTCTTTTTAAAATTTTTTAGTTATCATTTTTGTTAAAGAAATTACTGATAGTGACATGGAATTCTATTTTATAATACCAAGTATTTTAAATCTTTGATATTTGAGAAACTTTCCAAAATCAAATTCTAAATTAAGTCTTTTTTGGCCTCATTAACTTTTTAAGTATTAGGTCCCCTGAATTCCAAAAAGGGACATATTCAGCTTATTTGGTATGTTAAAATCATACAGGAAGCATTTTCAAATATAAAATGGTTTTTAATTTTCTTTGAGTTCTATTCATAGCAATGTGTTATAAATTTGTGCTTCAAAACTTTGTAAGATTCCTGTAATTCTGATGTGTCTCAGCATATGTTATGATTAATAATCATATGTTAAATTATTGTGTGCCACAGAGATGATCAGATTTCCTTGTTGATTTTGTCTTTAATCGTGGCTGCAGTAAGATTTTTGTTATCCACAGATAATTGTTATTTTGTTTTGATCCTTTACAAACGGCAGTTTATAATCAGCTATAAGAGTCTGACAGCTGCTTTTGAGTGCAGGTTTTTGATAACTTGGGAGATTGGGTCATTTAAATAAAAAAAAACTTTCAGGACTCTTGTAGATGGCCGATGTGTTAAGGAGAACTGCTGGCTCAACAACAGGAAGAACAAGAGTTAATTGCATGAACTGAACTAACAGAAGACCCAAATAACCTTTTTATGACTTACTGCTTGACATACTGCTGATCTTCTTTGTTGTTTTTCAGAGTATAGAAAACTTTTCTTTTGAGTTATTTATAGCTTTTAACAATTGAAGAAAGTATACTCCCATGAACAAAAATTGAAATTTTCTTTCTCTACTTAATTTGTCAGAATTTGGGAACTACTTGTGAGTTTTTGTAACTTATGGCAATATAGTTATTTGCATATGTGCAAAAAGGATCTGCTTTCTTTTATAACAGGACACAACTGGAGACACTGGCTATTTTATCAAGGCTTAAATTGGAATAACATGCTTTCAGATATAAACAGACTGCTTGAAGGAATCAAAGTTGACTTACAGAGCCAGTAGAAGCCCCTTGGGAGAACTGGTCTTATACCTTATTTACACAGTCCCTGTACAGAGTTCCTGACCTGTGGTAAGTAATTTTTGACAAGTCCAGGCCCAAGAGGAGAGAAATTCATCCAATCATATAAGTATTTGAAGGCGCAGATAAATTCGTGGTTGGGCTCAAAGCTTTAAAAAGTCTAATCTGAGATTCCTTATGGAGAAACCTCCAGAAAAGCCAATTTAAAAAAAGTCTATATGGATTAGTCCATTCTTGCACTGCTATAAAGAAATACCTGAAACTGGATAATTTATAAGAAAAGAAGTTTAATGGGCTCATTGTTTCACAGGCTGTACAGGAAGCATGGCTGGAAGGCCTCAGGAAATTTTCAGTCATGGCAGAAAGTAAAGGGGAAGCAGACATGTCTCACATGGACAAAGAAGGCGGAAGAGAGAGAGAAAGGAGAGGTGCTACACACTTTTAAGCAACCAGATCTCATGAAAACTCACTCATTATCATGAGAACAGCAAGGGGAAAGTCTGCCCACATGATCCAATCACCTCCTACCAGGCCCCTACTCCAACACTGGAGATTACAATTTGACATGAGATTTGGGTGGGGACACAAATTCAAACCATATCGTTCTTCCCCTGGCTTCTCCCAAATCTCATGTCCTTCTCACATTGAAAAAATAATCACTCTTTTCAACAGTCCCCTAAAGTGTTAATTCATTTCAGCATTAACTCAAAAGTTCATAGTCCAAAGTCTCATCTGAGACAAGGCAAGTCCCTTTTGCCTATAATTTGTAAAATAAAAAACGAGTTAGTTACATCCAAGATACAGTGAGGGTACAGGCATTGCATAAATACACCTATCCCCAAAGGGAGAAATCAGCTAAGTTTTTGGCAGCTCCACCCCGTCACTCTGCAAGATACGACCCCCTTGGTTGATTTCATGGGTTGGCATTGAGTGCCTGCAGCTTTTCCATGTGCACAGGGCAAGCTGCCAGTGGATCTACCATTTTGATGTCTAGAGGACAGTGGTCCTCTTCTCACAGCCCCACCAGGAAGTGCTCAACTTTGGGGACTCTGTGTGAGGGTCCTGACACCACATTTCCCCTCTGCACTGTCCTAGCAGAGGTTCTCCATGAGGGCTTGCCCCTGCAGCAGATTTCTGCCTGGACATCTAGGCATTTCCATACATTCTCTGAGATCGAGGTGGAGGCTCCCAAGCCTGAACTCTTGGCTTCTGTGCACCTGTAGACTTAACACCATGTGGAAGCTGCCAAGGCTTAAGGCTTCCACCCTCTGGAGCAGTGGCCTGAGACCTATCTGGGGCCCTTTTAGCCATAGCAAGAGTTGGAGAAGATAGGATGCAGGGAGCAGCGTCCCAAGGTTGTGCAGGGCAGCAGGGTCCTGGGCCTGGCCCGTGAAACCATACTTCCCCCTAGGCCTCCAGGCCTGTGATGGGAGGGGCTGCCATGAAGGTCTCTGAAATGTTTTCAAGGCATTTTCTCCATTGTTTTGGCTATTAATATTTGGCTCTTCTTTACTTAGGCATATTCCTCCCATGAAAATGAGTCTTTCTTTTCTACCACATGGTCAGGCTGCAAATTCTCTAAACTTTTATACTCTGCTTCCCCTTTAAAAAGTTTCAATTTGAGATAATCTATTTGCTCACGCATATGACCATATGCTGTTAGAAGCAGCCAGGACAGACCTTGAAAGCTTTGCTGCTTAGATATTTCTTCTGCCAGATACCCTAAATCCTCTCTCTCAAGTTCAAAGTTCCATAGATCCCTAGAGCAGGGGCACAATGCTGCCAGTCTGTTTGCTAAAGCACAGCAAGAGTGACCTTCAGTACAGTTCCCAATAAGTTCCTCATCTCCATCTGAGACCACCTCAGCCTGGACTTCATTGTCCATATTACTATTTGCATTTTGGTTGCAACAATTTAACAAGTCTCTAGGAAGTTTCAAACTTTCCCATATCTTCCTGTCTTCTTCTGAGCCCTCCAAATTGTTCCGACTTCTGCCCATTATCCAGTTCCAAAGCTGCTTCCACATTTTCAGGTATCTTTCTAGCAATGCCCCACTCCCAGTATTAATTTCTGTATTAGTCCATTCTTGCACTGCTTTAAATAAATACCTGAAACTGGGTATTTTATTAGAAAAGAGGTTTAATTGGCTCAGGAAGCATGACTGGAGAGGCCTCAGGAAACTTTTAATATGGTGGAAGGTGAAGGGGAAGCAGGCACATCTTACATGGCCAGAGAAGGAGAAAGAGAGAGAGAAGAGAGAGGTGATACACACTTTTAAACAACCAGATCTCATAAGAACTCATTCACTATCATGAGAATAGCAAGTGGAGAGTCTTCCCCCATGATCCAGTCACTTCCCACCAGACCTCTTCTCCAACATTGAGGATTATAATTCAACATGAGATTTGGGTGGGGACACAAATCCAAATCATATCACCATATGACAAATAATTATTCTTGCTGTACTTTATGCAAATAATTGGGCCAAGTATAATTGGACTGATATGGTTTGGCTGTACCCACATCCAAAACTTCATCTGGAATTGTAGTTCCCATAATCCTCATGTGTCATGGGAGGGATCCAGTGGGAGGTAATTGAATCATGGGGCTGGTTACCCTCATGATCTTCTCATGATAGTGAGTTCTCATGTGATCTGATGGTTCTATAAGAGGATTTTCCCCCTTTTGCTCAGCACTTCCCCTTCCTGCTGCCATGTGAAGAAGGATGTGTTTGCTTTCCCTTCCACCACAATTGTAGGTTTCCTGAGGCCTCCCCGCCATGCTGAACTGTGAGTCAATTAAACCTCTTTTCCTTATAAATTACTCAGTCTTGGGTGTGTCTTTATTAGTAGTGTGAGAATGGACTAATACATGATTTAAAGCTTATTTTGCAAGTAAATCAGTCCTACCATGATTTGTCTTTAATAAAATTGGGAGACTGGAGAGAGAAAAATTATATTTCTAAAAACTTTGTACAATTGTTGTTAGATTTTAGTCTTGTTCATTGTTTTTAATTAAAAAAATAGGTTCTACAATTTGGACTGACTGAAATTCTTTCTGGCCTGCAAGTCCCCAAATTAATGCTTCCAAATTTCTCTTCCATATTTCGCATTTGGACTACTACCTTCTTTTTTCCCTGAGGCCTTACAAGCTAAAGCTTATTCCTTGGGATACAGTCAAGAAAAATGTGTCAAATACAGCCTTCCTCCTCTGTAACTAAAAGTGTTTTGCATTGGGCATCTGGACAGATTGTGCCTAACATTAACCTTTTTCTTCTGTTTCCATAGAAATACCTCTTATTAAAAATCTGTTTGTCTTCATCACATATAGGAGCATAGCCCATCTGCAATGCCACCTCCTAGAATGGGACACTACTGTTTAACTCAACTGATCTATTCTCAGATCTAAAAAGCTGACTAAAAATATATGGGATGATGTATTTAAATTTTCTCTTTTCTGTGTGTCCCAATTTGTCTTTCTAAAACCTGACCTAAATCTCTCTCTACTAGTGACCCTATGTCTGACTGGTTCTCAGAGCTATTTGCCTGAATCCCCTAGGGTTTCAAATCAGTTCTACAAAGAAGACTGAAGATCGGACTTACACTCCTGACATTAAGACTCATTATCTTCTAGTCTGCTGTTCACTGAAGTGCTGTGCTAAAACTGTGGATGAGAGTACTAACATCATTGTCATGCAAGTCTTGAAACCCCAACCAGGCACCTGTGAATACATGCAGACAGCTGCAAAGTGGTTTCACTCCTCTTACCTTTAAGAATAATGTGTGATGAAACCCAAGAGGGAAGATTAAAACTGCCTTTGCAAAGATTATGACAGTGAGAAAAATTTGACATAGGAAAAGTATGACAGTGAAGAAATCTGACCTAATCAGCGGATCTTGCTTGTAACCGCCAAGCTGCCTTTGTCCATTGCTGGGGGTAGCCTGAACCAACTTTGGAAGTAATTGAGTTTATAATTTAACTTTGAAAAGAAGAATGACAAAAGCCCATTCTCCAAACAACCTCCCCTCTCCGCTTGCTTAGGGACCAGACTATCTTTATAAAACCAACACATTAGCCACAAGATTAGAAATGATGGCTTAGGAGTCATGCAGCCAGAGGCCACAAGAATTCAAACTCCTAATTGCTCTTATAGATCACCACTATTGTAAAACCTAGGATTGATGTTCGAGGTATTTTTCACATCCTGCATTCTGATAGATCAGCTGGTGCCACCTAGACCAGTCAACTGGCTTATCTGGTCTTGTGGTTCCCACCCAGGAACTGACTCAGCACCAGAGGACAGCACTGACTTCCTATGATTTCATCCCCACTCTACCATTCAGCATTCCTCATTTCCTAGCTCTCTGACTACCAAACTATCTTAAAAAAAACCCTAGTCTTTGAATTTTCAGGGAGGCTGGTTGGCATAGTAAGAAAACTTCAGCATCCCCTTTTAGCTGGCTCTACGTGTATTAAACTCTTTATTGCAATTCCCTGTCTTGATAAATCAGCTCTGTTCAGGCAACAGGCAAGATGAACCTGTCAGGAGGTTACAAAGATATAGAACTTACTCAATAATTGCCTTTTAAATAAAGAAAAAATGTTAAATATTTTCTATCTAGTTTGTCTGATTATGAATGCGAGGGGTCACAATGATAGCAATTTATTATTATTACTGCAATTAATCTTAGAGTTCCACAAAGAGGCTTCACCAAACAATTTAAAAGGAATTTATTGCTAGAACATTTTGCGGGTCATGTTTAAATGCACTTTCTGTTACTACACAACTGAGAGATTGCTATATTGTCAAAGCCACTTGCTGTTCATTTCTCTCTCAAATCTCTTACTCAAACCCAGACTCATCTCATGCTGCTGGAGTTGGGTCATGGGCAAAGCTCCAGCAATGACGTTTTGAGCCACAGGTGGCCCCCTGGCTGAATGTAATACTTGCCTGGTTTATTTTTTAGAGCCTGGCCTTAAGCATTTCATTCAAGGCCATCAGTATTATTTTATGTAAGTGATTAACATTTTTGGGGGGTACAGACTCTTTTTTGTTAGGGCTAACACAGCATAATCTTCTACTAGCCTAAATTCCCATTAGTATCCACTGTTGCATAAAGAATGCTCATGATTATAGTAATTAGAAATGTTAATTTCCTAGAGCAATTATAATTTCCTTTAATCTTCCATGGCAGTGTTTTTGAAAGAATTTTATTAATTCATTTTATTATTTTTATTAATTTCAATTTTAATTTGAGATTCAGTGGGTGCATGTGCAGGTTTCCTATGAGAGGATACCGCATGAGACTGAGGTTTGGGCTTCTATTGATCCTGTCACCCAGACAGTGAACACAGTTTCCAGTGGGAAGTTTCCCAGGCTTTGCCTCCCTCACCGCCTCCCTCCTTTTGGAGTGTCCAGTGTCTACTGTTTCCACACAGACTCTTTTTGAGAATCTGATGAAAGTTATGAACTCCCCAGAAGAAATGTACACTGATATGGTTTGACTCTGTGTGCCCCCCCAAGTATCACCTTGAATTGACTGTAATACTCCCACATGTCAAGGGCAGGACCCGGTGGAGATAATGGAATCACGGGGTGGTTTTCCCCAGGCTGTTCTGGTGATAGTGAGTGAGTTCTCCTGAGATCCGAAGGTTTTATAGGGGCTTCCTTCTTTGCTCAGCACTTATTCTCTCTCCTGCTGCCCTGTGAAGAGCTGCTTTCAGCTATGATTGTAAGTTTTCTGAGGCCTCTCCAGTCATATGGAACTGTAAGTCAATTAAAGCTCTTTCCTTATAAATTGCCCAGTCTAGTATGTCTTTATTAGCAGTCTGAGAATGGATGGATACATACACATATACAGACACAACAGTTGGCACACAAAGTATTTTTGCTTTCTATATCTGGTGGCCTAAGAACATTTTCATATGTTTGTTACATATATAGCTTTCTCCCTACCTCCATTGCACAAACACATGGGAGCTTGATATTTATTCTTTGGAATGCAGAATGCGATATTTTGCCTATACCCTATGGACTTCAGTAAGCAAGAAAATGACTGTAGTTTTCAACCTTAAAAAAAAATCAACTGGGAGATGTCTCAGGCAAAAACAATTATTTTCCTGGACCTCTGGCTCTTATAAGCTTAGGCAACGTGTTGACTCCCTCCTCCATTTGTAACGCTAATCAGGGTTTTATTGAGAGTTTGCATGGTAGGCCCTATGCTAATTGCTTTCCATTATTATTTTATTTAACCATCACAATAACTCTAGAAGTAGGTACTATTATTATTCATATATACTTATTTTTTGAGACAGAGTTTTGTACTTGTTGTCCAGGCTGGAGTGCAATGGCCTAGTCTTGGATCACTGCAACCTCTGCCTCCTAGGTTCAACTGACTCGCCTGCCTCAGCCTCCAGAGTAGCTGGGATTACAGGTGTGTGCCACCACACCCAGCTAATTTTTGTATTTTTTTGTAGAGACGAGGTTTCACCATGTTGGCCAGGCTGGTCTCAAACTCCTGACCTCAAATGATCTGCCTGCCTTGGCCTCCCAAAATGCTGGGATTACAGGTTTGAGCCACCACACCTGTCCATTATTCATATTTTGAATGAGGAAACAAGGTGTCTTAGTTTCCTGTGACTGCTGTAACAAAAGATCACAAACTTGGTGACTGGAAATTTATTATCTCACAGTTTTGGAGGCCAGAAGTCTGAAATCAAGGTGTTGGCAGGGCTGTGCTTCCTCCAGAAGGTCTAGGGGAGCTTACGTTCTTTGCCTCTGGTGGCTGCCAGCATTCCTTGGCTTGTGGCTGCTTATGCAATCTCTGCCTTCCCTGAATGTCTCTTGCAAGGACTCTTTTTTTTTAAAAAAAATGTATAAATTTATGGAGTGCATGTGCAATTTGTTACATGCATAGATTGTGTAGTGGTCTAGTCAGGGCTTTTAGGGAATTCATTACCCAGATAAAGTACCTTATACCCATTAACTAATTTTTCATCATCCACCTCCCTCCCACTCATTCACCCTTCTGAGTCTCCATTGTCTATTATCACACTCTCTATATCCATGTGTATACACTTTTTAGCACCTACTAATGAGTGAGAACATGTGATAGTTGACCCTCTGTGTCTGGCTACTTACAAAGAGTCTTGTCATTGGATTTAGACCTCATTTAGAAAATCCAGGATGATCTCATCTCAGATAACTTTTTTTTGAAAAAAATTTTTTTTGTATTATCTTTTCATTTTTTTGTAACATCTTTTCTTTGTTTTTCCAAAAAAAGTCACATTCACATGTTCTTGAAATTAGGATGTGACATATCTTTTTGTGGGCTCCCATTCAACCTGCTAAACAATACATAGGTAATTTATAGTAAGTCAGTAGTAAACCTGGTATTCCAACCCCTTGTCTTGGGGCCTCAAGAGCTTGTGAAAGCCCCACACTTTCTAATTGTCGACTTTAGCGTCTCTTCTGACTTTCAGTCGTGAGGACCATTGTCTTGTGTGTAGACTGGCTGCTGGCTAACATGTCAGGACCCATTTTGATAGCAGTATCAATTCTAGAGGAAATACGAAGCTGACTCACACAAATAAACAAAGAAGCTTGGCCAGTGACAATAAAGCCAAGTATCATGTTAAGGGCACAGTTCCTCCCTCTAGTTTAGCTCCTTGGCTTTATTCTGGTGTGAGATGTCCCATGGTGATTGTGTCATGGACAGAGCAGAGGGAGGGCTCTGAGGAACCTGGGAAGCCTGCTGAGCTGCATTTGGGACCTGCCTGGGCAGAAGGGCAGTGAGTTTGTGGAAACATTTGGCTAAAATATTCATGCAGAAAGAAATTGAAGAAGGCATAAGTAAATGGAAAGATGTCCTGTGTTCTTGGATCAAAACACTTAATATTGTTAAGATGTTCATACTACTCAAAGCATTCTATAGATTTAATGCAAGTCCTATCAATATCTCAATGATTTTTTAAAGAAATATAAAAATTTATCCTTAAATTCCTGTGGAATCTCGAGGGATCCTAAATAACCAAAACAATCTTGAAAAAGAAGAACAAAGTTGAAAGACTCACACTTCCTGATTTCTAAGCTTACTAGAATGCTACAGTAATTAAAGCAGTATGGTACTTGCATAAAGACAGACGTATAGACCAATAGAAAGAGGCAAAAGACTTGAATAGACCTCTTTCCAAATAATACATACAAATGTTCAATAAACACATGGAAAGGTATTTAACATCATTAGTTATTACGGAAATGCAAATTAACACCACAATAACATACCACTTCACATTCATTGGGATGGCTATTAAAAAAACTCAACAACAATGGAAAACTACAAGTGTTGGTAAGTATGTGGAGAAACTGGAACTCTTGTGCACTGTTGGTAGGAATGCCAACTGGTGTAGCTGCTATGGAAGAAAAGTTTAACGTTTCCTCAAAAGTTAAACCCAGAATTACCATATGATGCAGCAATTCCACTACTAGGTGTATACCCAAAAGAATTTATAGCAAGGGCTTGAACAGATATTTGTACACATGTATCTATGTACACATGCCTATGTACACAGCAGCATTATTAACCATAACCCAAAGGTGGAAACAACCCAAGTGTCCATTGACAGATGGATGCATAAAGAAAATGTGGTATGTAAATTCAACGGAATATTACTCAGCCTTAAAAAGAAACCAAGTTCTGATACATACAACGACATGGATATTGTATGAAGACATTATGCCAAGCGAAATAAGCCAGTCTCTAAAGGAAATATATTGTATGATTCTACTTATATGAGGTACCTGAAACAGTCAAATCGATAGAAACAGAAGTAGAATGGAGCTTACTAGGAACTGGGGGAAGGGTGAATAGGAAGTTGTTGTTTAATGGTGTAATGGACTGAATTGTGCCCCTCTCTTCCCCCTGCCAATTTATATGTTGAAGCCCTAGATGTCAATGTAATTGTATTTGAAGATAGGGCTTTTAGGAGGTGATTAAGCTAAATGAGGTCGTAAGGATGGGGCCGTAATCTGATAAAACTGGCTTAACAACAAGAGGAAAGAAGAGAAGTCTTTTCCCCTCACCCACCAAGCCCAGCACATGCGCAACCATATGAACACACAGAGAGGAGGTGGCTGTCTCCAAGCCGGGAAGAGAACCCTCACCAGAACCTGACCTGACCATGCTGGCGTCCTGACCTCAGAATTCCAGCCTCCAGGAGCAGTGAGAAAATAAAGATATGTTGTTTGCAAGCCACCCATTATGTGGCACTGTGTTATAGCAGCCAGAGGTGACTAATAAAGATGGCTCTCGAGTTTCAGGCTGTGATGATAAAAAAAAATTCTGGGGATGGATAGTGGTGCTGGTTGTACAACAATGTGAATGCATGTTAATGTCACTGTACTCGTATGCCACTGATTAAAATGGCAAATTTAAAGTTACGTCTATATATAATACAAAAATATCATACAGTGCCTACTTGGTAGTGATTGGGATAGTTGCTTTTGCTTTCTGTAAATCTGTGCAAGAGAAGAAACCAAGTTGTAGGGTCTGATGGGGACTAGCAGATCACATAAGACAGGACCTAATTCCTTTTCTGAGGTGAAAGAAGTGGAGAGGTACTCAGTATGGCCTCTGAGTAAATACAATTTTTCAGTGTGTATTTAGAGCTGACTCTATCTCACACTGATGAGGTGTTTCACCCTCATTTTATACATAAGGAGAAAAGTTACAAAGACATATAGCATTATCTGTTTTTCCATGATGGTGTATAATTGTCTTAGGAGAGATAACAACTGGAAATTCCCAAAAGGACGAGGATTACTTCCAATTACCCGGAGGATATTAGAAAGTGGGAAGCATTCTTGCTTTTATTTTACCCCTCTATTCCTGCTTCATTTGAGATTGTCCCTTTCAATCCATGCTGCCTTCTTGAGAAACTAACCAAGATTGGTTTTTCAAAGTATAGTTCAAGTAGTTAACAGCCAAGCTTTCCAGTGGTAGGTATCAACCAGCGTTTAAGAACCAAGCAGGGCAATTCGAAGGTCTCCTAAAGCCAGGAGAATATTTAAATGAGCTGGAAGATACAAAACCAATCTGCTTTTAAATTCCATAAGAAATTTTATAGTTCA